TGTAAAAATTCTTTGGCTTTAAAGGTGGAGTCTATCTTCTCTCTTTTATCGTTGATCTTAAAGATGACACCCTCTGGGACCGCCCATCTGTACGATATTCCACTGGTTTGAAGGGAAGAAATTAAATCTTTATAGTTTTTCCTCTTTTGTCGAATTTCAAATGTAATGTCTTTTAAAGTTTTGATGATTACATTTCCCATTTTCAGTGGAGTTGCTGATGTCGCTTTTAAGATGGCATCTCTGGTTTGTCTTCTTGAGAATCTGACCAGTATTTCTCCAGGCAGGCTATTTTTTTTAAGTATCATTGGAGTATGCCCTGTAGGCTAGCTCCATTTCTTTTACAAGTTCATCCGCTGTTAAGCCTATTACTGGAGCGATGATCTCGCTAAGCACCTTCCTCAGGTCCTCCAACTCTGCTTCAGGAACTCCCTGGATCCTGAGAATCATGTTGGCTTTTTCCATCTGTAGCTGCAACAAACGATTTTCTTGGACATTCTGCTTCATTTCCACTTCTCCTATTCTTCAATTTCTTGCTTGTGGTGTCTATCTCTTTAATTTTCTCATTTGCCTGCTCCACTTTTTTCTCCGTTTCATTCAGCTGGAGCTGTTGAGATGCAAAGTTCTTATTCATCACGGTCAATGCTGGTTAATACCATCAAGTTGTTCCATTACCGGCTTAAGCATATCCGCTAGCAGTTTAATGACGTCTGCTCCCTCTTCCAGTTTTGGGCTCTGACTGCCCAGAGGTTTTGTTTTCAGCTTTCTCTGCTGGGCCGCCATTTTCTCCATTTTGTTTACAGTTTCTACCACTTTTTCACAGCTCGAAAAACTCGCCCCACGATGACGAAAATTAAGTAAGTCTCTCAAAATACACTCGTAATTCCTCCCCTCTCCCCCTTCGTATCGCTTATCAGTTCATTTGCATAAGAGGCGTCCCTCTTTGCAACCGCTTTTATCAGTGGATTTTAAAGAAATCTGATTTATTCACGTTAATTATCGGTCAGTTTCTCTGACCTCGCTCATAAATTGCCATTCTGCTCGATCTCCGGCACTTGTCCCGGTCAAACCAGCTAGTGCCCAAGGGCCACACAGCGGCTGGACCGTCAGGGTGGAGGGGAGCCTCAATTCTCCAGCATTACACCATCGAAGAGGCTACCCCTCAAAAGCCCCCTGGCCTGGAGCCTATCGCAAAGGCTCCGTGGGGGTGTCACTTGAGGTGGCACCCCTCCAAGCCGCTGGTGTGCGGATCGCTCTCCCACGGCTCGGGGAGAGCGTCCGCCATCGCTACTTCATAAACTGGAAGTCAGTCATATAACCTCTTAACCAACCCAGGGGCCTGTCTATTGGAAGTAGGCTTATCCCATTCAGCCTTCAATTGTCTTTCAAAAATTCAGGGAATGGAAAAAACTTTTTCAGATGTACAATAGCGAGGAAACAACTCCTCTGTGCCCTTGGATCTATTTCTCGGATTAATGCCAGGGCAAACCAGTTCCTCTTCAGGAGGAGTGTCATGGAGATCTAGAGCTGAAAAACATTTGAAAAGGAGGTATTAGAAATCCTCTGTCTTAAAGAGACGTGAGGATGGCTGTGGGACACTGATGTCTTCAACTTCCTCATCGGAGAGGAACCCCTCCCCTCTCTCTAGGAGACACGTCGGGATCAGGTTCCAAATCAGAGTTCCTGTCCATAGGAACCTGCTTTCTAGCAGCCTTGGAGGCCAATGTAGTCTCATTTCCCTATGATTGGAACATGGGACAGGTGTTGGAGCAGGGGAATTTGCATGGGAGATGAGGGTCCTCAGGTCCCCAATGCAGCATAGGCTGAGAAATTCCTCCATCATAGAACACCTAATAGAGGCAAAAAGGTCCTGAGGGTTAGGATTCCCGGCAGAGCGGAGTACGTTACCCATCTGGAGGCTTCTGGGGTTATCCACAGCTGCAGTGCTCTGGGTCAAGGAAGTGCCTGCACCTCCTGTCTGGAGGTTGGCATCCAGGAGCTGGATGGGTAAAGGCATGCCTAGGGTGAGCGCGAAAGCGCTTCCCCCACCAAAACACTCATGCTAACATGGCTGCTGGCAGTCTCTGCATTGGAGGTGAGACCTTCCTGACACGATCGTTTCCACGCCGTCTTCTCCCCCCTAAATTCAGGGTCATCGCTGGTAGCTGCTGCAAGCCTATAGGCCATGCCAGCTCCAGGAAAATCCTTGGCCAGCTCCACAACAACGGGATCGTTCTCCACCTCAGAGAGGTTGCTGTCTTCCACTCTTCCAGGCATCTGCGTGCTCAGCAAAGAATAGAAGGGAAAGAAACGGGGAGATCTTGAAGCGTGCTGTTAAGTTGTTGCCTATAGACTCCCTCTAGAGGACACAAAAAGATATGAAGGATAAAAGAAATGGAAGAGGAAGAGTTATAGATCCACAAAGAAAGATTAAAATAGTAAAATATGGAAAAAAAGAGTATGCTAGTAACACTAGAAGTTGGAGGCAAAGCCTACAACAACCTCTCCCTTTAGAGGCAGGAAAAGAACTGGGGTAAAAGGGGCGTTCCCAGTCCACACAGGAAGAGGAAGAAAGAATTTGTTCCTGCCTCTCCCTGATAGGATGATGGGAATCACCCAAGAAGTCCTCCGCCTCAGAGGAAGAACTCTCAGGCTGGGGCAAGTGATGCTCTGTATTCTTGGTGCTTGGGGGGGGGGCAACAGTGGGAGGGCTTCTAGTGTCCTGGCCCCACTGGTGGACCTCCTGATGGCACCTGGTAATTTTGGCCACTGTGTGACAGAGTGTTGAACTAGATGGGCCTGATCCAACATTGGCTTCTCTTATGTTCTTATGTTCACTTTTCTATGAAAAATACTTGTGTGTTCCTTATGCAGCCATTTGTTTGGAAACTAACCAAAGACTCCTTGAGAGAAAAGCTTGGATTTTAACAATGAAAGTCTGGCTACACCTCCATTTTAAGAATAGCTCTAAAAGCCTTATATCTCATATACTGACTGAGTCCCAGTCATCCATGTGGCTGAAATATACAGAAAAGTAAATTATTTCAATAGGAATTAGTCTTGATGATTTATTTTCCTTGCCAGAAAGTTCAGCCTATGTCCTGATTAAACAAAGACTCCTAGATATTGAGATGCAAGATTTAAGGAGCCTGGCTAAAGGTAATTCCCCTTTGAAGTTGGGGATTTTCCTCCATGGGTCCTTAGCAGGTTATTTCTCTTGTTTAACTGTCCCACATTATTGTAGAGCTTATATGTTCGCTTGCTTTAATGTATTACCTTCTCCAGAACTGTGTGGGAGATTTCAGAAAATTCCATACACTAATAGGCTCTGTGCTTGTGGACTGCATGAAGTAGAAAACCTTGAACATGTTTTCTTGTATTGTACTTATTACCTTAATATTTGATCCTCACTTACTGAATCTTGGCTGCAAGATCAAGGGCAACATGATAAAGGCAATTTTTTTTATCTATTATCCACTCCAAAAATCCAGTGATTATTGAAACTGTGGTCAAATTTTTACATCTTGCATCTAAAAGGCGAGAAATGTATCTGAATGCTGTGATTAATGAATGATGGTTGTTACTTGGGTGTTGTTATGCCAATAAAGGTAAAGTTTACAATTTACAGCACTGCTAGGCTTCTACATGAAGATAGACTCACAGAGGTCTGAGACCTGAATCAGCATTACAATGTCCAGGAGAGGGAAAATAGGTAGTGGTGTAAGTCTGATCAGAAGTACCTGAAGAGCACATAATAAACACCACTGCAAAATATTATAGGTATTAATTCACATGTAACAGTTTGCTTTAATGTTTCTCCCTGAATCCCTCAAAATTACAAGCAGCAGCTCTTTGAATAAACAAAATAGATTTCTAGTACCTTCCCCTTTGTTATTTTATTTAAAATTATTGCACGTGTACCAGTACTAATGTTCTTACCAATTGTAAGTTTATGCAACAGCAATAAAACTTCGTTACATTTATCCATTAAGACAATTTAATCTTGTCCTCTGGAAGAATATACAAAAGTAAAATCAGTAAATTCCCCTCCATCCCTTTAAAATGTCCTGAGCACATTCCTGGATCAGAATTCATAAGGGGAAACCGTTCAGGTAGCTGTATCGGGGGCTCTGGCAAATAACAATGCTCATCAATCTGGTTGATAAATGATTTGGTCCATGTTAGTTTCCCATATTTATAAAAATAAGTGTTAGTTTTTAATATAAAAAGTAGAAGTGTTGCATTCTTTTTGTTTCAGTTACACACTATAAACCAACCAATGTCTAAATTTTAATACTGTTACAGGTATTTAATGTTACACATATTGGGACAGCAGATAGAAAAAATAAGTACCTCAAAGCAACCATGAGCCTCTACCGCAGCCAGATTTACATAACATTGTATGAAAGTTAAAATAAACATTTGTAATTAGTTACAGTTATATGCATTATAAAATATTTGCAAAGTGGTGGTTTAAGTATGTACACTGTACACTCTCGTTATCAAGCCTTAATTGCAGTAATATATAATAAGGTGGCCCTATTTACATAAAAACTATACTAGAAAAAAAGAATTTACAAGTGAAATAAATAAGAACCTTCAGTAATCTGTTTTAAAATGTCTGTTGAGAAGACCTTTAAGGAGGAGGCCAATGATAAAATGAAATCCCTAGCAACTGAGTTGTAGCCACTACCCATGAAGTGCCAATGGAAGTCTGTTGCCTCTCGAGGGAAGTGCAACTCTGCTCTCAGCCTTTCATGGAGATAAAAGTATAAACATGCAGGATAGGAAGGGTCACCCACTGCTGTGGAACAAGCACCAGAGTATCAACACTAATCTTGAGAATATACAAGAGTACTCACAAAACATACCATGTATTTTACAATTTAATACAAAAAAAGTTGTGATATCAAACAACATAATCTATGAAACAGAAGAGCCCTGATAAATCAGGCCACCATTGCCTTAGGCAATCAAGCTAGTCAGAATGTACAAACTCGGCATAACATGCAGTTTTCATTCTAACAAACTTAATTTATGAACTTTTAAGGGTTTGGGTTCAAAAACCAGGCTAGCTGGAAGTTACTGGACATACAGAAGTGCTGCCTTATTTTCCAGCAGAAGTGATCAATTTTGAACTGTCTCCCATGATTAGGTTGCATTCTTCTTGCATCCTGAAAGGAGCCAACAATGATCTGGGGCAAATATGCAAAACTGATGTCTTGCCCAATCAAGATTTTTAAGGAACAAAGTCTAAACTAGATTTTCAAAATAAATCTTGACATGAAAACGATAAGAGTCTTGCTTTCCGTGGAGCCATTTTTAGAAATGACACAGGCAAGACTGTTTAATGGAAAATATTATTTGCATTCAAAGAGGGTTTCTAGTCAATGCATGTAAAAAATTCAGCATAAAATCGAACACACTTTAAGTGTTGTTTGAAGGCTTGAATTGCGTCCTTCTGTAACAACATCTGTACATGCCTTTACTCTGTTGCTGTGCTCTTGTTAACATCATTTGCCAATAGCTCCGTTAGGACACAGTGCAGTCGTAACTGCCTTCCTGGAGCAGGTCTTCCTCCTCCAGTCCAGCCATGTCATCTTCATGTCGACTCATGGTGCTACCACCAGCATCACTTTGAGGGCTGGCGCTGTGGCTAGCTGAGCTCCTGTTTTCTTCAACCCTTGGGCTGGCTTGCTCTGTCACTCTCGACAAGTTCATTGGCTGAAAGGTTTCTGGTTGCACTTGTTCCTCTGCTGTCTCACTCAGCTTCTGGAGTTGTGGCTTGATGACAGTTAAAAATGGCTTATAGCCAGGACTAAAGAATAGCAAACAGAAAAGCAGCCATTTTAGTTAATTATCCTAAACATTTTTGCCATTAAGCAAATCACAAATATTGTGCTCAGAAATAAAGAATAAACAAGGGTAGACCCTTTGCCTGAACAATAAAAGCCCTTTCGCAGACACCACCCATATTGTATCCAACCTCCCTTTGTTATCGTAAGACACAGAACGCATACAACATGAGTTGTTATGCTACTACTAAACAATCACATCCTGTTTTAATATTACTATATACACTTAGAAAATCCCTAGGAAGCACAGAGTTCTTCCTTGACTATTTTTTATCTCAGTTGTTGAGGCTTGTTCTGACAGCAGAGATAGTTACGCAAGAGATCCAAAACATACCTTGCCTCATAAAACCCTTTTTGTTACAGGCACTGTTCTACATCCAAATAATCCCTCCTTGAGAGAGTTTAGTATTAGAGAAGTAGGATTGGAAGGGTTGGTGGAAGAGGCTCTCATATTAGGTGATGGCATCTTGCATCACAGAAAAGCAGAAGAGGACAGCACAATGGAATCCTTGTCTTTAAAATAGTGAGTTCCAAGTCCAAATGTAGTAAAGCACTATGTTATATGGTATGCAAGTTTAGCTGGCAGGGAGTGTAAAGGATAATACATGAAACCAGGCACTTACCAGTCTGTAGAAGCCCATCTGTCAACTGCGTACAGTCCTGTCTTGATATTCTGCAACAACTCTCCATCAACCTCTGAAGATTGCAACAGGCTAAACACTTGGTTGATTATTGAAGATTCTCTGAGAATAAGGCCTATAACGGCACACCAGTCCAGGCATCCTGCTTCCATGAAAATATGAAGCAAGTACCTGCAAGAAATCAAGAAAGTCACTTTAAAGGGAAGAGAAACCTCTTGCACTGCACAATGGGCTGCTCTGTCTCCATCTGCCAAGAACAGTCCAGAGATGACATCTCATATCCATGAAGCCAACTTACCGCAGTTGAACCTGTGATTTGTGTGGCCCTTTACTGGCCAGCTCCAAGGAGATATGCTCCAGCTCTGATTGTGTTAAACTTAGTGTGGAGAAATTTTCATCCACCATAGTCCAGTCTCCATCCACTATAGAGCTTGTTTCTGTCAAGTCTGTTGCTGAACCAATACTGCATTCATCACCTGTTGGAAGTATGTTTAAAAATTACAGGACAACATTACAGTTTGTGCAGCAGAACCAACAGAATAAGGTCCTCTAGATCACTTGTTTTCCAATGAGATTCCTCAATTGGGTCATACAGAGAGAGTGCAAGGCCTAACGGGCATGTCCAATGTCCTGTATGTGTGTGTCATAGTTTATTCGGTATATAACCAGCACAAGTCCATTACAATCAATACAAAGAAGGGTACCAATAAAATATTTAAATTTAAAACTGCATTTAAACTGCCCATGTTAATTACAAAATTGCTAAAACTCTAACTTTCTACAATACTCTTGTCAATGCTGAATAAAAAATTATTCAACTATTGAATAAGTGTTATATCATGGATTATACAATTCTACTAATGTCCTCTGTGAACTGAGCTGGGCCTAGAATATGCCTTATGCCTTGGAATTCTCTGTAGCAAACAGACCAGTTGAAAAGAAAAAGTTTCCCTCAAAAGCAGAACATATTGCACTAAGTAATATCACTAAAAGAACAGTCTGTTGCTTAGAATCCTTTTTATAAATTCCAAGGAACCAGCACAGTATCACAGAAACTTCCGTTGTATGCCTAGTTTACTAATGCCACATTCCTCTATGTAGCAAGAACACTGCCTGTGAAGTCTCAAAGCACAATGTGAGTGGATTGGCACAAAAGATAAGAGCAGCGTATTTAAGGAACGGATTGGAGGCTATTGCCAGAGTTCGAGCAACACAAAACTAGGGCAAGTTAACTAAGCTGCTATCTCCCAAATATTTCAGGCTAAGAATATCCTGAATATTACTTATATGACATGGCTTTTAAAGCACTTCAGCTGTTCGAAACTGTTCTATTTCGAATGTGGCCTTGGAGAAACACAGTCCAAAATACTGTATATGTTGCAGCGACAGTGACAACTTTAGCTACAGGAGCCCAGGAAAACCATTCATTTCACAGGTTTCGTTTTAGTGACTTCTTATAATGTGCCCACAAAGGATGGGGAAACCGAACAACAACTAGTTTGAAGCCAAGGCTCGGTTTACATTCAAAGTGAAGGCATTCAGGAGCTGCAAGATGAAGTGAGGGAATGGCTTCTGTAAACACAGCCCTAAAAATGTGAGCTGCCTTCCATATGACATCAAGCAAACTGGGGCTGTTTATACATTCAGAAGCAAGTAAGGGGGAGACTGATTAAACAGAGCAGCATACAGGTACATGCAAATGAGCCATGCCCAGAAGATGGATTAGGTAATAATAGGTCGGCAGAAGGTGACAGATACTGAAGGTCCAAATACAGCTGGGCTCTGAGAAGGGGCAGGTGAGGGAGCTGCTGTTGGGAGTGATGAGTAGTTTATTATTTGCCTTTCCTTAACTGCTGAGGAGAAGTAGCTGAGGTTACTGTGTGGGAGGACAGTGTTTTGAGGGTGTATGGGTGTGCACAGCCTGTTGGAGAGTGGTGCTTGTTTGAGGAAGTGTGGTTTCTGTTTCTCTCTTTTGCCTGGGTGTAGCTGATTGTAGCTTTTAGAAGTTTTGCCTGGGGCTAACCCTCTGGTGGGTGAGCCTTTAATTGTATAAGGTTCTTAGGCTCAAGGGATCTTAGCCTGGGGGCCCTGTAGGAAGCTGAGTAACTCTTACATTCTATATTCGTTAAGGTTTTTTGCTTCTACAAACCTACCACAAGAAGTCTTGACAGGCAGTTTGGCAAGGGAATTATCAAGGAAGTGCCAGTTAAACTGTCCTTGAGCATTTAGAAAAAACGGCTGTGATTATTAAGAGCCAGCATGGGTTTCTCAAGAACAAGTCATGTCAGACTAACCTTATGTCTTTTTTTGAGAACGTTACTACCTTGCTGCATCGGGGGAATGCTGTGGACATAGTTTATCTTGATTTCAGTAAGACTTTTGATTAGATTTGACATAATATTTTTGTTGACAAGTTGGTAAAATGTGGTTTGGATCCTATGACTGTTAGGTGGATTTGTAACTGGTAGACGGATCACACCCAAAGACTACTTGTTAATGGCTCCTCATCCTCCTGCAGAGGAGTGACAAGTGGAGTGCCTCAAGAATCTGTCCTGGGACTTGTTTTGTTCAACATCTTTATAATTCATTTGGATGAAGGAATAGAGGGAATGTTTATTAAATCTGCAGATAATACTAAATTGGGAGGGGTAGCAAATATGGCTGAAGACAGAGTCAGGATCAGTGTTCCCTCTAAGCTGAGTTAGTGTGAGCTAGCTCACAGTTTTTTAGCCTCTGACTCACACATTTTTGTCTTAGCTCAGGAAGGATGGCTCCAGAGCAAACTAATTTATGCAGTAGCCAAATCGCTCACTCACAACTTTAATGCTAGTAGCTCACAAAGCAGAATTTTTGCTCACAAGACTCCACAGCTTAGAGGGAGCATTGGTCAGGATACAGGATGATCTTGACAGGCTGGAAAATTGGGCTAAAACAAATAAAATGAATTCCAGTGGAAATAAATGTAAAGTTCTGCATTTAGGTAGGAAAAATCAAATACATAATTATAGGATGGGGGAGACTTGACTCGGCAGTAGTATGTGCAAAAAGGATCTAGGGGTCTTAGTAGAACATACACTGAACATGAGTCACATACACTGAACATGAGTCAGCAGTGTGATGTGGTAGCTAAAAAGAAAATGTGATTTTGGGCTGTATCAACAGAAGTATACTGTCCAGATCACTGGTATCGCTTTACTCTACTCTGGTTAGACCTCACCTAGAGTATTGTGTTCAGTTTTGGGCACCACAATTTAAGAAGGATATCGTCAAGCTGGAATGTGTCCAGAGGAGAGCAACAAACATGGTGAGGGGTCTGGAGACGAAGTCCTACGAGGAAAGATTGAAGGAGCTGGGTATGTTTAGTCTGGAGAAGAGACATCTGAGAGATGATATGATAATTCGGCAATTGCCGATTGTTTAAATGTTTTAAACGTTTCAACAGTGTTAAATGTTAAGTTTTAAAATGTTTTAACTGTATATGAATTTTGGAACATTGTGCCAGGCAATATGAGCCGCCCTGAGCCCGCTTGCGGGGAGGGCGAGTTATAAATAAAATAAACAAACAAACAAATAAATAAATAACCATCTTCAAGTACTTGAAGGGCTGTTATATAGAGGATGGTACAGAGTTAACCATAAGAACATAAGTTGTTTTCTGTTGCCTCAGAAGGTTGGACCAGAACCAACTGGTTGAAATTAAATCAGAAGAGTTTTTGGCTAAACATTAGGAAGAACTTCCTGACAGAGCAGTTCCTGAGTGGAACAGGCTTCCTTGGGAGGTGATGAGCTCTCCTTCTTTGGAGGTTTTCAAGCAGAGGCTAGATGGCCATCTGACAGCAATGCTGATTCTGTGAACTTAGGCAGCTCATGAGAGGGAGGGCAGGCAGGGTTTATTTATTTATTTATTTCTTCGACATGCCCAGGGAAATGCTGATCAGCCACTTTGGGGTCAGGAAGAAATGTTTCTCCAGGCCAATTTGGCTGGAGATTCTGGAGGTTTTTTGTCAACTTCTGGCGTGGAACAGTGGTCACTGGGGGTGTGGGGGGAGAGGTATTTGTGAATTTCCTGCATTGTGCAGGGGGTTGGACTAGACCCTGGAAGTCCCTTCCAACTCTATGATTCTATGATATAAAATGAGCCGGCAAGTACTTCCTGATTGAGGAAAGCCCTGCCCAGACCATCTCTACTTAAACTGTTAATGGTCTACATTTTTTCATGCATTTTCCTTACTGACATGAAAGTTAAATTGTCCTAATTTGTTTCCTTACAGGCTTTTTTGTTAGAGCCCATTCTCATTACTCTGCATACAAATGTGGTCATGCAGGCTAATAGATCACCCTTGGGAATGACATCATATAAACGTGCTATGACGAACCCCTGTCCCTGTATCTCCCCAACTGTCTGGCAGATTTTTCCTGCCAAATCTTCAGTTCCCCTCAGTGACTGAGTTGCCCTACAGTAGCATGTGTATATTCTTTGTTATAAAAGACTTGACTGTTCCACCCTATGTTTAGATACTTAAAGGTAAAGGTTTCCCTTCCTCGAAAGCCAGTTGAATCAGACTCTAGGGTTGCGGTGCTCATCTCAATTTCCAAGCCGAAGAGCCAGCGCTGTCCGAAGACATTTCCGTGGTCATGTGGCCGGCATGACTAAACGCCAAGGCGCATGGAATGCTGTTACCTTCCCACCAAAGCAGTACCTATTTATCTACCTGCAATATCTTGCTTTTAAACTGCTAGGTTGGCAGGAGCTGGAACCAGAGACGGGAGCGGCATGCGGCGCTTGGGTCTCAAACTGCTGAACTACCGACCTTCCAGCCTGCAGTTCAGCGTCTTAACCACTTGAGCCACCGTTTAGTTTAGGCCTTTTCTCAGCTCAGGAACTCTACTGAAAATACGAGAGCTGTCCAGTTTTCTTTAAACCCTTGAGAAATGGCACTTTAGGCAAATTAACTTTCAATACCAGAATAAAGGTTTTATTAAACAGGCAAGGAATATGTATAAATGGAATAGTCAAGGTTTTGAGATTGCTGATGTAAAAAACTTTCTAATATATACAGAGCTGAATTCTTAGAACATTCAAGAGAGTGTATTTGTAGTTTTGTTTCAAGGCTTTCTATTTCTTTCTTTGAGAGGTACTTTGTTTAGTATAATTCAGCACTAACACAGTTCTTATTGATGTTTCTAGATTTCTTCCTTCAGATATTACAGTTTTTCCTTTAGCTAATACAGCTTTTCATTAACACCTGAGCTAGTCTAAGCTTCTCTCCTTTATCACAGACCAGGGTTCTATTCCCAACCCCTTTCACTGGCCGGAAGTTATTCTCCCTGTCCCTAAGAAGCAATACCTCCTTTTATTATTTGGCTCTTTTCTTTGCAATCCATCACATTTGCTTTAAGGAAATTGTAATATGGTATTTTATTTCCTCAAAATACATTCATATTGCTTCTTTTAGTTGACTCTAGGTTTTCCTCACTTCAGAGTTAAAAAAAAAACAACACCTCCAAAACCTGGCACCTAACATTGGAAACAAGAATGCATCTCTGAAAAGAATGTGATGATGCATTTGCCTCCCCAAGTGGTGAGCCACTACTGGGACAAATACACGACATTTTACTAAACAGGCGTTTTGCTTTCTTACTTAGTACATGAATCTAGAGAATTAACCTTTTGTGCAGTTTCTGCAGCAGACCTGCTTCATACGGGCTCATGGTGGAAGTGTTTTTTTCTGACATTTACTCCTTTTTGTCTGGGTATTAAGAGCTTTAGAGGAAGACTGCAGAGCAGCCATAAACACTGTAAAGTATTTGTTTCAGAAATCATACAGAATTTAAACATGTCTACAGAGGAAAACAAACAGCTAAGTATGAGAATGTTGTTGCATACCTTTATTCAACAAAGGTGAGAGAAATGCCTCCTGCATGTGAGGTCCATGGGACGATGCTGCATCCATTTCTCTTTGGGAGGAACTGATGGTGCCAAGCCAACTGTGACTTCTTGGCACACCTGGACCCCCAGCATCTATTTCCATGTTCAAAAAACTATCAGTTGACTGTGATTTTAATAGCTGCTCACCTATTACTGGAAATAAAAAAAAATTAAGTATAACCTACAATTCTCATAGACAGAAACATTTTTTTCAAGATATTCCAAATTTCACGCAAGCTCTCTAGAGCTCTCTCTGAATGTGTACAGCTTTTCATCACAAAGAATTGACAGCTTCCCTATACCTAGAATAATGCCACATAAAACACAGAAATTCCACATGCCTCAGAATAAAAGAGAGGATCCTTGTGGGGTTTGCAACCAGCGCTTTGAACATGGTTTCTAATAGGAGTTGAGCTTGTGAGTCCTAGTCCGAGTTTCCTGAGAAAGAACATACAAGCTCCACATCAGCAAGAAGGGTGGTGTGCTACTGTATCCCTCCTGCTACAGAAATTCACACAAGTTCAGGTAAGCACCCTATTTCCCTCTAAAAACTCCTTTAAACAACTAAGCCAGTTATATGAAGGTAGAAAGCCAGCAGGGGAGCAGGGGTTATCCAGTGTTTTGCAGGGAATGCCACAGGTACAATTATTTACCCACTGGAGCAGAATTCATTCCCTTGAGACTAGGGTTACCAACCCAAAGAAGCCAAGGCAGAGAGATGGGGTTGGAGATAAGACCTTCAGGGACCTACCAGAACAGTCCCACTTCTGTGCCAAAAGCTCTTTTGCTGTTGTGGAGAGTGAGAGTCTCAAGCAGTCAGTCTGAGGAGGAGGAATGTGATCCCTTAGAAGAGACCCCTTTCTTGGCTGATAGACTGATGTCCTCTACTACCAAGGTTACCCCTCTGGGGTGGGAGGCGGTGGGCTTCTGGTAGTGGGTGATTTGATTATTAGGAATATAGAGAGAGGGGTCTGTTAGGCACTTTGACTGCATGTGACTTGCCTGACAGGTATGAGGGTTGCAGATATCACATGCTGTCTAGATAGGTTGACAGACAGTGCTGAGGAGGAGTCCGCATTCATGGTGCATATTGACACCAGTTGGGGAAGTGTAATCATGTGGTCCTGGAGGGAAAGTTTAGGCAGAAAGTTAAAGGCCAGGACCTCAAATGTAGCATTCTTAGTTGCTACCGGTTCCATGCACAGGGACTGCTACACAGGCACAGGTCAGGGGTCTCAATGCATGGATTAAAAAGTGGTGCTGGGGGGAAGGATTAGATTCGTTAGGCAGTGAGGAACTTTCTGGGACAACCTGAACTTGTACAAAAAAGATGAGCTTCACTTGAACCAAACGAGAACTAGGCTGCTGGTGCTAAATATCAAAAATTTGGTGAATCAGCTTTTATATTAATCCCAGGGGGAAAGACTACAGGGGGTGCCGAGAAAACAGTTCAGGACAAGGCAGTCCAAAGGGATGATTGCATAAACACTCTAGGTGATATTGAAGGAAGCATAACAGAACTTGAGAGTGAGCATAGGATGGCAAATGAGGGTCATATGTTGTGACGTAGGGACAGAGGGAGGCAACGGTTGCTGGAGAGGGAAACATGTTATAGGTGCCAATGCTAGAAGTCTCTGAGCCAAGATGGGAGAGCTGGAGTGCCTAGTGTTCAGTGACAATTTAAATATAGTAGGTATCTCAGAAACATGATGGAATAGAGAAAATCTATGGAATACAGCCATCCCAGGGTATAATCTCCATTGGCCAGACAGGGAGGAACTGGTTGGTGGGTGCTGCATTGTACATCAAAGAGGGCATAGAATCAAACACAATAGAAAACATTAAGAGAATGAACTCCTCAACAGAAGCGATATGGGTGGAGGTACTGTGCCCTAAGGGTTACTTAAAAGTGGGGGTGTACTATCGCCCACCTGATCAAACCCTTGAGGCTGATCTTAAGATGGAGAAGGAAATAAGGGAGGTGACTAAAGCAGATGATATTAAGATACTGGGAGACTCCATCGAACCTCACATTGACTGGGTAAACATGTGCTCAAGTCATGCTGCAGAAATGAGATTCCTAGTTATCATAAATGACTGTGCACTAGAACAGAAGATCACAGAGCCAACCAGAGAAGTAGTGATCTTGCACTTAGTTCTGATTGGGGCTCAAGACCTGGTAAGAGATGTGGAGGCTGTTGCACCAGTTGGGATCAGTGACCACAATACTATTAAGTTCAGCCTTCGGAGGTCAATAGCTCCCCTGAAAGAGAAACTAGGGATGTGCATTTGGTTCGTCTAAACAGAATGCACCCCCGAAAATGGCCCATTCAGGCCCCTTTCGGGCTGCTGTGGGCTGACTCACATTCTCTGTTCTGAATCAGCTTGCTGCCGAATTCGGCGGCAATTCGACCCCATTATATCCTATGGGCCATTTAAGTCAATGGCGAAAACATAGGGTATATTCTGGGGGCTGGAGGGGAGGGGGTTTGAGGGAGAGGCTCCAAACTCACAGGGTAGCTGCTGGATCCTCTCCCCAAGATACCAAGTTTCAAGAACATTGGACCAGGTGGTCCAATTCTATGGGCCCCCAAACAGGTTGCCCCCATCTCCTCCATTGTTCTCTATGGTGAGGAAAAAGTTACTTTTTCCCCACGGTGCTGTTAGTGGCTCTGGGAGGGAAGGGGTTTCAGGAAGATGCTCCAAATTTTCAGGGTAGTTTCAGGAGCCTCTCCCCACATACACCCCCATGTCCCAAAGCAATTGGACCAGTGGGCCCAATTCTATGTGCACCCAAACAGGTTACCCCCATTACCTCCATTGGTTCCAATAGGGAAACCCAGCCAGCAGCACTTAAGGCAGGCAAGCAGGCAGCACCCAGCAGTTAGACTCTCCCAGAGAATCTCAGGAAAAGTGAACTGCCTTTGGAGGTGCTTGTTTGCCATGAGAACAAGTGGCACACTCCAGAACAAGTGGCACTGTGGCAGTGCAAGTATGCCACAGTGCCCACACAGAAACCCCAAAAGACCAACAGGAACAACGTTTATACAGGCCCTGCCCTATATAAATTGATGGTGCAACTGCATTGGACCACTCACACCACACACACAAAAGACTATTTATAGCACTGGAAAAATGCAGAAAAGAGCAACTACAATGATAAGAGGAGGACACTTTCCCTATGAAGACTGACTGAGGGGTGACAAGGCTATGAGAGGTTTACAAGGCTATGCATGGAACAGAGCAGGCAGAGAAAGAAGTACTTTTTACCCTTTTTCACAAGACAAGAACTTGTGGGCACTCAATGAAATTGCTGAGCAGTCATGTTATAAGTTAGAACAGATGCAAGGAAGTACTTCTTCACCCAAACAGTGATTAACACATGGAATTCACTGCCACAGGAGGAGGTGGTGGTGGTGGCTGGCATACACAGCTTCCAAGTATAATTTGACAAACATACGGAGGCTGGAGCAGAGCAGTGGTCCATCAGTGGCTGGTGTTCAGGAGTTGTTTTTTTTAAAAAAAACTATAAGTAATTCAGTACTATTAAAAGTGAGGGGGTTGCCCCCCACAGCATCAGAGCATCACTTGCCCCAGAGACCAAGAGTTCCTTCTTATCTATAGCCACTAGCCACCAGTGTTAATCCATAGTGCCAGCAGCTACCCTACGGGTTTGGTTAGCCTCTCCCTCAAACCCCCCTCCCCTCCAGCCCCAAGAATATACTCTATGTTTTCGCCATTGACTTCAATGGCCCATAGGATATAATGGGGCCGAAATTGACTCCCCAATGGGCTCCTACTGCCGAAATTGACATGCAGGAGTCTTTCTGCTGGCCAAAATTGATTCTGCCAGATTCATCCAAATCCGAATCGGGCCAATTTTTTTTTTGCACACCCCTAAGGGAAACACAAGACAGCCAAATCCCTAGAAGATGCTTGGAAGCTATTTAGAACCACACTAACTGAAGCAGAGGTTAGGAAAGGGCACTGCCAAATCTAAAAGAATGCCTGTACGGTTAACAGCACAAGTCAAGAAAGCTATAAAAAGTAAAGAGGCTTTTTTTAAAAAAATGGAAGGTCTGCAGCAGTGAATTGAACAAAAGGAAGCACAGGTGCTGGCAAAAGAAATGTCAGTCAATAATTAGACATGCAAAAAGAGATTTTGAGAAGCAGGTTGCTAAAAGTATTAAAACAAACAATAAACATTTATTTAAATATATCTGGAGTAGGAAACCAGGCAGAGAAGCAACTAGGCCTTTGGGTGACAAAGGAATAAAGGGATTGATAAAGGAATATAGCAGAGAAGCTCAATGATTTTTTTGCTTCTGTGTTCACTGTGGAAAGTGTGGGGCCATGACATGGGTTTTCAGGAAGGGAGTCTGAAGAACTGAGTCAAACTGAGGTGGACCAGAGATGAAGTTCTAAACCTATTGGGGAAAATAAAAACTGATAAACCTCCAGGTACTGATGGCACAGACCCATAAGTGGAAGATGATGCACACTGGAACAAAATAATCCCAACTTCAAGTATAGGCTTAAAAGGGTCTGAACTTGTTGAGACTGAGAGGGAAATCTCGAGGTCATAGTAGATCACTCAATGAAAGTGTCAACCCAGTGTGTTGCTGCAGTAAAAAAGGAAAACTCAATGTTAGGGATTATTAGGAAAGGGATGGAAAATAAAACAGCCAATATTATAATGCTCCTGTATAGGTCTATGGTGCAGCCTCATTTGGAAAATTGTGTACAGTTCTGGTCACTGTATATCAAAAATGACACTAAAGGGCTGGAAAAAGTACAGAAGAGGGCAACCAAGATGATTAGGGAGCTGCAGCATCTTCCCTATAAGGAAAGGCTGAAGAGTCTGGGACTTCTCAGTTTAGAAAAGAGACTAACAAGGGTGGATGTGATAGAGGTCTACCAAATTATGTGTGGCGTGGAAAGAGTTGACACTTTTGTATTGCTTTCACAACGGGCTTTACTGCTAGTTTGTTATAAATCTACATTGGGTAACAAAATTCAAAATTTTAAGAAAGGCTTTTAATGGGAAAATGCAGGTTCACAGGAAAGGCTTCAAGAGGTCCAATCAATTAATTAACTGGCTACTCTAATGGTTTAAGTTCAACACCCCTTACCTGCATGTCAGTTTTGTACTGTAACACAAATTATGGAAGCTGCAGGAAATACAACTGGCTTGGAAATAAAGTGAAACAGAAAGAGCAAAGCATTTGAATTGTTCTTCCTCTACATTTGTGATTTTACTTCCTAATTTCTTAAGCAAAAACTGATGACCCAGTACCTGTTCTGTACTTTCCATTCTTGAGAGGTGAATTTATGGAGCAGACTGGAATAATTGGGAACGGCCAAAGAAAGTCATGGTGTAGTTTCTTCAGAGCTGTTACAAAATCTTCTACACGGGCAGCTCTGGTGCGCTCCTTACACAACCAGCCTATTAGCTCAAACCCCAACTGTGCAGCAAAGCAACCAAGATCCTTAAGCCTGATTTCTTCCAGGAGGCGGCGAGCATGTCGCCAGAGCATCATGTCAATGTACATGTTCTCAGCACAATCACTGTCCTTACTCCACCTTATGGAGAAAAAAAATAGTGCAAATGTGAATACAGAATTATATTTTTGCTATTACTTAGTTACACTTTTTTGCAGATCTGTAACAACTTCCAAAAATATTGGAGTAGCATTAGATTTTTAGAAAGATATTCAAACATTTCTTTTCTGTTATACAGGTAATACATAAAGCATAATACATATCACGTATTTGTAAAGAAAATTCCTTTCCTCCCCAGCTTTCAGCACTTTTCATTTCATACAATTCCATCATTTTCTTTAGAGGAGCACCTCATTGTTTCCAACATTCATAGCACTGCTGTAACATGAGGATAATTTGACCTGCAAGGAAATCAGCACCACAATGCTAAAGCCAGTCTGTAAACTGCTTAGGACATCCGTTAAGTTCCACTTCAGTATAACCTGGAAATATGCCAGAATAGGGCTACATTGGCAAAAAGGGTCAGAAATGGGAAGTACAAGGGAGGAGCAGTGATTAATTGGTTTCTAAACCATCTCTGTATCATTGTTAAACAACACCAGTGAAAACACCCATGTAAATTCAAACACTCCTGTTGAACTGAATGGGAGTGAAAAAGGCAGTTCCCCTCACCTATCTCCAGACATGATACAATTTAGAATAGCAGGTACATCTGCAGCTCTCCTAAGCCCTATATAAACCCCAACTAAGACAACAACAGCTCAGATGACTAGGTACACAGCATAAGACATCTCTCTGGCTCCATGTCTGGCACGTTTAGAGCACATGGGAATTGCAGAAACCGGCCAGAGCACAAAAAGGGGCACTTTGGGGAGGGGAGATGGAAAGCAAGAGATGCTGGGATGAATATTAGCATTCACTTGGTGTTTGCTTCCACCTATGGCTGATGCAGGTGTCAGTATGCATGCCAGTCTGATTTTCTGTGTCCAGTGGGACCATTCCTTTGCCTAAGACCAAATTACTGATTCGTATTTGATCAAATCTGGACGTACGACTATGGGCATCAGATCCAGCATTGCTTCTGAAGTATAATAATTTCACTGTCATGAAATACAGATAGATTCCTCTCAAAGAGCCACAAAGAAACTATTTTCTATTCAGCCAATGAAGAACATTTTACCATAATGCAAATGAGAAAATCTGGTGTCAAAACGACTGTTACCTTTTCCCAGAGGGACCAGATGGCATACTCAAGGTCTTTTGCAAGTTGAACTTGCCCGCTGGGATACCATCTCCAGACTGGGACAAACTAATGCTGCGATGTCTAAAGAACTCAAAGCCACCACTTGAACTAGGTTCCTACAAGAAGAACACATATTATGCTAAATATTGCACATCAGGGATAGGGAAGCCTGATGCATGACATCTAGAAAAAATACATACCAGTACTCCAAAGAAAAAAATTACCATTTATAGTTTATTGAAATTCATTTTTCAATTACATGCTTCATATATGATTACTGACATTTCTGTCTGGGGGAGCAGCCCTTGATTGGATCACTGAATACAGATTTTCATCATGAAAATAGTTTTTTATTATAGTTATTTTATTATATTCAACAGGCAAAGCTTTCTCACTCACTTGTTAAATACACACAACACAAAACTATTTAGACACAAAACTGTTTTAGAAATTCCATGACGGATAGTACTGCTACAGTAGGCAGAATGAATGGATTTCTTTCTCTAAAACAAGGCCATTTTAGCATCAAAAAACCCTTTTGTTTGCAAGTACTCTTATAATTTACTGATGCACTCTTTTCATCTTCTGCATCCTGTAAAGAAGTCTCACACAGTATACAGACTTACAGCTTGGGATCCATGATACCATGCTTTCCCACAGTTATACAACCCCAAATCTATTCCTCTCCACACTGGAGGCTACATTAATGCTGAGGACAGCTGTACATTGCTTTACCTATAGGTTTCCGGTGTGTGTGTATGTGTGATAATTTACACGCATAGACTTTATTAACCCTCATTAGAGTATGGATCCCAACCTCAATGTTACACCTACAAAGGAAGAAAACGGAGGCTGAAAGAGAAACAAAAAGTATAGTATTTTAAGTTTTAAGTAACCAGTATGTGAAGCTATACATCTGCACCATATGAACTACTCAATGTTACCCCAACCTACAAAGGAAGAAAACTGAGGCTGAAAGAGAAACGAAAAGTACAGTATTTTAAGTTTTAAGTAACCAGTATGTGAAGCTATACATCTGCACCATATGAACTGTAGAAGCACTAGCCGCCTTACACTTTGTTTGATTCCTGGTGCATGAATGCATACGAAAGCCTTGACTCTTTTCATCAACTGAAGATTTTTTCAATGCTCAAAAATAATGTATGTAGGTTTGTGGGTGCTTCCATTCCTGGACAGGAGGTCTCTCTGATTTTTAATTATTTCCCTTTGTCCACTGAAGCCTTCCAGATTACATGCCATGATTCACTGACGTGTCCCCTGACCCTCAAGAGTATCTTTTCAGAGGGCACAGGAGGCTGTAGAAGGCAGGGGGGAGACAGCTAAGCCAGTGTTGAGTATTTTATTAACCACTTCTTTGTATATATGCTCAAGGGAACTTGTAAATTTGCCTTACCCATTTTAAATTAAGTGGAAGAAATCCCTTTTGTGATAATTACCCAACATAGCTATGACAGATATATAACGTTACTAACAAACCTGAGTTGTTGGTGTAGGAGGTGGTGTCTCCGGTTCTCCAGAGCCAATGGCTTTCAGAAACCTGATCATATGCCGACAAAGATCCCACTTCCCCTGTTCCAAAGCAGTATTGAATAGCAGTGTTGCATGCTGCCTACTAACAGCTGGAACCTCCATATTCTACAAGTGACACAAAACGCTTTTAAACAGATACCACCAATGTGTGCAATAAAATACATTTCTCCCAGATCAATCAAGAAACTTCACTCCTGTGAAGGAAACTCCACCTCCCCCCTCAAATGAAGGCTTACAGGTAAAAATGCTCATTCTAATAATTAAGAATGGAGTGGACCCTACCCCTATCCTACCTCATTCCACTGAGCAAGGTTTATTAATTAATTAAAATATTAATACTCCACCATTCCTTTTGGCTCAAATTTGGAGCTTACTAACAGTATGACAGGACCTACAGCGCTAACTGATGCTGGCTCTATTCAGGCATTTGGTTCCTATCAAGATATTGCTGGTAGGAGCAAATGGGACTGGCAGCAGGACTGTGACCCAGCCAAGATGGAACGCCTATTGCACTAACTAGTGCTTCCGTATGGGAGTTTCCCAGAGGCAACTGCACAGGAGATCAGGCTTTGAATCACTGGTAAAGGCAAAAACACTACTAACTTTGGCATTCTCCCTTTTGCGTCTCCCAGAAGCTTTTATTTAATGCTTTCTGAATATAGATAACATTTCCTTTGGTGTAGCATGCTTACACCAAAGCCTTTTTTTCAAGTCAAATCAATCTTTATTGCATTAGCAACAGAATGCCATAACAGCTAAAAGTAACAATAAAAAACCTCGACAGAACACAAACCATAAAAAGTACATTGCATAAATCCTTTTTTCAACAAAATGATACATTTATTTATATTCTGCTCTTCCCGTGAATGGGTTCAGAGCGGATCACATCATAAGTGGATAAAAACATACTGTTACCTGTAAGATAATAAGGTAAGAGGCAGCTGTGTCTAAGTCCTGGGCCATTAAGCACTCTTCAAACAAGTCCTTTGGGTTTCCAACAGCAGCAAAAAGGTAATTCCACAGGGCATATTCTGTCTTCCTAGCACAGTGAACAACTGTCTGCAGGAAAAGGGGGAATTCTGTAATGAATTTAGCCACAGTGGGAAGGAGAGGATCAGGAATGGGTTCCCGTGAGGTAGCTTCTTCTTCCAGCACTTCATGAAGCATCAGTTCTAGTACATGAGGAAAGTACGGCAACGTGGCACAGGAGTGAGCCAAAAGCAAGGCTTGTTCACCTAGGTTCTTTACCAAAAGCTGGCGTAGAATGTGATGGAGGTAGATCTGAGATGTTCTCTCAACAATACAGAAAGGGAAGAGAACCTCTATGTGTTCCATAGCACTGCTGTGAGCGTATAAGCAGTCATAGAGTACAGTGTCATTGACAGCACCAAGAACCAAGGCATCTTCAAACAGGACAGCCAAGGGGTATATGTTAATGTGGAAAGGCAGCATAATCCGTCTTGACAGAAAGGAATGTGGTTTACGGTGGTCCCTGGGAAACAAAGGAAGCCAAACTTTCATGCCTGATCCACCACAGCTGAGCCACAGGGCCTCCATTAAGTGCCGTTTCTGTTTGTTAGAACGGCATGTAGTCCAAACATTTTCAACAGATTGGGCAAGTACAACTGGAGCACAAAATGGCAGCTAAAAAACAAAACAAAACACCAAATTTATTAAAGGTTTCTCCTACTTTCAGACACATTCTTAAAAAACAAATATGGAAGGGAAGGGGTCTGTAATCAGAACAACTGAACAGTGCTCAATGTGATTTATATTAGAAGTTGGTGCTGAAACAATCTACAGTTCTGTACAAACCACACTGAAGCCATACCTCTGTAAAACCCCGTAAGTGCATAAAAGCCTGCTAGATCAGACCAGTGGTCCATCTCATCCAACATACTGTTTCACACAGTGGCCAACCAGTTACTCAAGAGGGCCAACAACAGGGCATTGAGGTCAAGGCCCTCCCCAATGCTGCCTTTGAGCACTGGTAATCAGAAGTTTGCTGCCTCTGTATACAGAAGTTCCTTTTAGTGGCTAGTAAATATGGATGGTCCTCTCCTCCATGAATATGTATAAGCTTTCTAATGCTCATGGCCATGACTACCTCTACTGGCTGTAAATTCCAAAGTTTAATTACTCATTGAGCAAAGAAGTATTTCATTTTGTTTGTCCTGAACCTCCATAAATTTAGCCAAGCTCCAAGTACTTTTGCAAGCCTATCAAGGTGAAGAACTACAACAAAACATTCCCTTCCAATCTGATTTCAAGCCTGGTTATATGACTGAAATGCCTTGGTCACCCTGGTGAATGACCTGCACCAGGAGAAGACCCTGCTAATTCTCCTGGACCTCTCAGTGGCTTTTTAAACCACAGATCATGCTATCCTTCTGCACCATCTTTCAGGACTGGGAGGCACTGTTTCTGCAGTGGTTTTGGACCTACCTTGAAGGTAGATTTCAGATACCGGTATTGGGGGACTGCTGCTCAACCCTCTGGCCTACAGGGTCCCACAAAATTCCATCTTTACCCTAATGCTTTTTAACATTTACATAAAGCTGCTGGGAGAGGTCACCTGGAGACCTGGGCTGAGTTGCCACCAACATGCAGATGACACTCAGCTCTATCATGCACATTCAAGGAGATCTTAGGGAGGCTGTGGAAATTGTGAGCAGGTCCTGGCACGTGGCAGGGGGCTGACCCAGGAACTAGAGTATCTGTTGTTTGGGTGGAGTTGTACTATATCTCCAAAAGGAGCCCATTCACAGAACTTTGGTACTGCTGGACCTGGGCCTCCTGTTGGATAAGAAGGTGGCAGCAGTGGCCAGGGGTGCCTTTCACTAGCTTTGGCCCTTCCTGGGAGGGAAAGATCTTATCACTGTGGTTCATGCCAGTTTGCTAAAGGCCTAATTTCCCCCAGTTTGCTGAAGACCCAATTCAAGGTGCTAGTATTGACCTTATATGGCTTGGATTTGGCATACCCACCCCATCTACTCTGGTCATCTTTGGATGCTCTGCTTCAAGTGCTCCTGCCATCTGAGGCTAGATGGGTGGGCCTTCTCAGTCATGGTGCTGAACCTTCAGAACTCCCTCCCCAGAGAAATTCATCTATTACCCTTTACTGTTGACTTCCGCCAGCAGCTGAAGACTTTTTAAAATTTGTTTGGTGTCCCTCCACAAACTGTTATTGGCCCTCCCCCCGGCTGTGTTGTGAATGTATGTTTTATTGAATTGTTTAGTGTGTGTGTGCATACACACACACATATAAAATTCTGTTTTAATGTCTTGATTATTTCATGTTGAAAAGTTTTTATATTTGCTGTACTGGGGGCCCTGTTTGGGAGAAAATCAGAACAGAAATGTTTTAAATAAATTAATATGGATTATAGTATGTTTATCAAGCCCCTTTTCTTGTTCCTGTTTCTGAAGCTTACACCCACCTTTCACACAATTACTTGTGTTTTCAAGGCAAAAGTGTTTACACATAAAAGGCTTTGCATACTACTAGTTTAGCTCTAGTCTTCAAAGTAGCAATAAGTAAGGCAACGGTATTAAGAACTAATTTGAAAAACAGGCCATAATAAGAATATGCAGTGAAAGAGGTTACGAAAACTGGCTTTTAAATACAATCCAAGAACATTAAAAAAAATTCTAGCCACTTTATGAAAAATTGACACCCTGCTCTGTAAACTGTGATTACTCAGATTCACTTTGCATGTTTCCTCTATAGTCTGTACAGATACGGCATACATTCTCAAGAGTTGTAACTTACAAGTTTCCTTTGGTTGGGACTACTGTCCTTTTCTCGTATCTGTGGCCCAGATCGATCCCTTTGCACCATAATTAGCTGTCCTGCTAAGTTTAACATAATGCTCTCTGCTTCACAGGCCTTAAAAAAGGAATTAAATCACTTTTTCAGCATTGCAGAATCTATTAACTATATACTGATGTATAAAATGCATTTATGACAGCACAAATAAAGTATTTGAGCATGAATACCAAGTACTGCTAAATTAGATAAAACAAGTCTCTACCTGCAAGACCGTGTTAATTTTACATTCTAGCACAAACTGAAGAGGGAGCTAGTAGAGAAAGGAGATGCTCAGCAGCCTATGTCTATGAAGTCTGAATATGGTTAAGGAAAGAGATCATGTTTACACAGAAATATTATATCTTGAAAGAGTATCAAATAAATAAGACCAAAGTTTTGCACTAAACTATCATCCCAGTCAATAACCATACTTCATTTTTACCAGGCTTGTTAGTTTAACTATTTAAGTTTTTTCCCATTTTAAGACACTCATCAATTGGAGGAAATTTCCCTAACACACAGTACACTAATTCAGTCTCACATGTTTCAAGTACCCTGCCATTCAGTCTCCTAGAAAATTTTGCAAAACTGTTTGCATTCTTGCAAACATGTGTAAATTCACATCCCCTACCAACCTTTAAAGCAAAACTGATGAATAAAGCAACTTTAAAGTAGTTTTTGTTACTAGTCTGTCAGGAATTAGCCATGACATGTCATTCTATAATGTATTAACAATTCGTGTACATATACCGTGGACTCAAGTTTGAACACGTTTTAGTGGCAATTAAACCTGCTCCATTTCACTCTCATTATACTATTTATTAGATAAATGCTACCCAGTGAAATTCCTGTTCCATGGAAGTAATATTGTTGCTTGGCAAGACTCTGCATCTGGTTTTATTTACTGATCAACACCATTAAATAAGCAAATGCCATTAAAATGTTTGTTGAAGTCATATATCATCCAACACAGTATGACCATCCCATGCTATTGTACTTATAAAGTAAATGAATCCAAGGAAGATGACAGTTGTATTCCCCTACCAGTCTACACAGCCAATGTTTACCTTCTGAATATGCATCTATAAAGTGCATACATTTGACAAGCATACTAACATTTTGGGACAATTTTCCAGAAATATGTAATTTTGGTTAAAAATGATGAACAGGTTTTCTTAATGCCATAAATTTAAAATTCTGAATTAAATATTGTTTAGCAAGATGAATTCTCACCAGAAGTCCTAGAAAATTTTAATTCAAATGGCAGAACTGTTTTGCAAAAATCTGGTGAACAACCCTAATTTTCAGTTCTGGTAACAATATATGGCCATGGATTCAATCCTGCTTTTCGTAAGAGCCCAGAGATGACATTTGGGATTTGCATCTATGTGCATTCAGAAGGATGTCATTTTCACCAATAGGATCGTACAAAATATGTAAGAAGGATAGTCATATCTTGCATAAATGAAGATTCCTGAAGAAATTTTTCATCAGTTTCAGCAGAGCAGAGCAAGTGAATTAGCTAAAGGCTCAGATGGAAGGATCAGCCAGGTTGATCCTGACCACTATCAATACTACTTGGGGGGGGGATTGTAGGAATTACAACAACATGTTCGGCACTCAGCAGGTTTGCTCCTTCATTCAATTTATGAGCCCCCAACTGTGGACCAACCAAGGGTAATATTTGCATTGGAACTGGGATCAAGTGAACTGCAACATTAATTCTTAAAAGAAAAGAGAACTGCAGTGTAATGTAAAGTGCTCCAGATTTTAAAAACATTCAAAATATTTATCATTTTTGATCACACTTCTCTAAACACTTGAAGAAGCCCATAAAAATATACAAAATCCCAATAAAACAAATTAGAAAAATTACAAGTAATCAAAACGGTCTAACAAAATCCAATGTTCTTGCAGCCAGAAACAAGCCCATACAAAAATGCACTGAATCTAATCTGGGACTCAGCCAAGAAAAGCTTCTGAAACAAAGTTGCTTTACACAGTTTGCAAAAGTGAACTAGAGATGCCCTGCACACTTCCTGGAACAATCACAGAGAATGCCATTGATCTAATGAAGGATGATCATACCTCCCAATGGGAGGAAATTTCCAACAAAAATGTTGAGTTGAGTGAAGTTGAAGGTGCTCTATATAGAGGCAGTTCTTCATGCAGATGCAATTGGTTCTCTTTTTTCTTTCACAGTACATGGAAGGTGAAGCTGAGCTTGGAAAATGGTATGCACATTCAAAATAAGTAGAAAAATGGGGTTACCAACTTTTTACCCCCAAATATTTTTACAATTTCTTCAGGAAATCTGTCACCTGAGGCATTGGTTCTCATAATGAAAATAACAAAACTGAGCTATGTAAAAAAGCATTTTTGACCTCAGTACATTCCAGTTAGGTGGAAAAAGTGCCCGCCTATATTGTTCTTTCAGAGAATTTGTCCCAAATTCTCTAACCTGTGGAACATCATCAAAGATTTGTCAGCTAGTACAACATTATTTAAATATTAATTCTCTGCAGTTTTGAGACAGTGGGTGTGTAAAGTACCTGCTGTGGCATTTTCAAGCTGATGCCAGTCTCTGTTCTCACAGATGTCAAAGTAACAGACACAACAAGAAAGGGATGAGGAATATAACGTGACATCGAAACCTCCTGAAGAACTTGAATACTGGCAGTCGGATTTGGACTGTAAGGCCAAGACAAAATTGTGAGAAGTTATTAGTTCTACATCAGAATAATTATAGCCAACAGTTGAAGGGAACAATCTTCCAATAATTTATAAATTTGTTAATACTTAGATTCTCTCAGATTATCATTAAAACCAACACTAGGTAATACTCTAGGTAATTGTTTCTTAGGTCTTATTTAAGCAGAAAGTAAGACAGGAGAGTGTTAGTAATATTTTCTGCCAATTAGTTACTAAACAAAATTTCATTTTGACAGGTAAAACTAACTGCCAAACCCTACTGACACATAACACTTAAATTTTATGGTATCTTTAACATGAGATGACTAGCCATTGCTCTTCAAGAAGCTGACACTGTGAGAGTGCTAAGAGACTGCTAAGGGCCCACTTCTTTAGGGTCCATTCTTTAAGGAAGTTAGATTAGATCAAAGTACAATGACAAAGAAGTCCACAATTGCGTGCCATACTTTGAAAGCTTGTCTCAGTATTATTACAACACTCATATCTTGTAGAAGTTACCTGCTTTTTAAAATATACTCTTAACTGCAAGGATATAAAAGGAAACCATCTTCATTCTTACAACACTATTAGTATTACTGATCCTTAAGCTCTAAAATTACAGGGCAAGTATTAAATTTTCACACAAATAATGTAAGAAAGTAGACTATAGAATGACTAATTCATGCTATACTCACCCATCAGATTTTCTTTCAATACTGTAAAGGCAAATAGAACAGTCTGCTCTGAACAATATTATTATGTCCCGAAAAACACTGAGCAGTAATGTTTCTGCCTGGACTTTGGTGATATGAGCAAATGCGTTGTCCAGATTGGCTGTTCGCAAATATACTCTTAACTGCAAGAACATGAAAGGAAACAATCTACATCTTTACAGCACAACTAATATTACTGATCTTTAAGCTCTAAGCAGATAATGAGCATGTCCTAGGTGGATTACAACATGGAACGAAGAGGTACACTCAGTTGAAGGTACCCAACAAATACTAAGCTAACACGATTTCCACAATTGGCTATCAAAAGTACAGACAGGAAGTCTGAAAATGTTTACCAATACTCAGTGACAACCACACTCCAAAGAAACTTGATAAACATCTAATTTACATGCTTGGGTTAGTAGAGCCTAGGACTGACACAGACCATCAGATATAACCTGGCCTTTGACAAATTCTGCCCTACCTACATCCTATTACTTCTCTTTTTTTCACCAGTTGGAATTATGTCTTTTCAGCAACTGGAAGTATGTCAAGATACTTCCTTTCCTCAGTCCCCTAGCTTCCCCACAGTTCTTCATTCAGTTCTCCGTGCTATTGCTTTATGAGCTAGATACATTAAATTCCTTTCCTCAAAGTATTCTTCTCCACCAGAATCTCTGAAAATCTACTAGGTAACCCCACCCCCCAACAGCACTAAATACTTCAGTTCTCTTGAGCCTGCATGTTACTCCCCCATTAGCAATGTGAAGATGAAGTAGCAGTTTGATTGATATATCTTATTATGTCTTAATATAATAAAACCCTTTGATGATCACTAGAGGGAAGAAATCTCAATTTCATATTGAGGCGTGAAACCATTACAGAACCAAAACTGAGTTAATGACCTGTATGGTCATGTTAGGAAATGATTCACATGCGCCCTTCTCCACTTCTGTAGCCAGTGGTTGGATTCTAATGGGAAAGGGCCCCCTCTTTTACAGGACACTGCTTATCTCAGTCAATCAACAGTTAAAAGGATACAGCTTCTTTGTAGTTTTTCATACCATACATTCAAATTTCCTGTTAAACTCATAGTCCAGCAAAATATCTGACTTTGATTACTGTATTTTTGAGGGAGGATAATTTTCTAATCTCTGATTTAAAAATCAGAGAATAAGGTTGGAAGGTAAGAGCACTGTGCTTAAGCACAAAATAAATTTCATTTCCTATCTTTGTTTACATATTGAACTCAGAGTCCAAATGTCCTCAATTTTCTGAGAATTCCAGTCTTTGACTTGATGAGTTAAGGCTCCCTAGTTGGGCAATCTAAATTTCCTAAGATGTAATAATTGACAGTCATGGGAACAATTCATACTAAACTGTCCATGTCTAAATTTACAGCAATGTAGAGAAAGATTACCGTGAAACAGGCAATGTACACAAGAGTTGACTCATACCAGGTAATCAAACCATAGAGACTGCTGCTAGCTTGCCATGTACAAAGCTCAGTCCATGGTACCCTCTTTCCATATGCACTCATCCTCAGACACCATTGCATACAGAAATTTGATAATATGAACAGCTCCTTAAAAGGAAACTAAGCCTTTGCTTAGCAACAATCTTAAAGAGAATAAAGGTGAAAGTAACCTGGGAGAATGTCAGAAAATTCTAGTTTAAACTTTGTCAGAACTTAAGGGTTTATATAATTTCTCTCAGTAGACATTTCTGAAGAGCACAGAATAAATGAGACAGCAAATTATTTTTTCTTAAGACCCATGCCTCACCTCTTCTTGGCGGTCACTTAAATTATAACATGCAGTAACAATGAAATCATTCCACCATACTAAGCCACCAGTCACAGTCATGGTTTGTTCCTTAAAGAAAACAAAAGGTAAGGAGTAATTATAATTTTTTTTCTAAAATGAATAATATATCTTTTAACATTTATGGATACACTGTCAGAATGAAGGTCAGCATCTTTGTAAATTATGTCCATCATTGCACAGCTATTTTAAAAGTTAGCAATAGTAGGAAAGCTGAACTCAAACACAATTTGAGATGTTGTTTGGTGGATATACATTAATACAAAAAAATGGGAATCCCAAGATATGGGTTAATCAGCTTTACTTGTTTTTGCCGATATATGTTAGCACAAAATCTGTGCTTGATGTGAAGCGCTTACAAAAAAATGTGATGGCTTAAATCCATTTCCCTTTTTCTCTGGATGAAGATGGCCCCTTTGCTGCTGCTGTGACTGATTTTAGATGGAGACCATCTAATGAGCAACTGAAGTGAGAAGCCAGAAGAATGAGAAACACTCAGACCTCATCACACCCATGGTAGCAGAGAGTGTGATGCTGCCTGGCTAAACTGAATGATGGTCATCTGATGACTTGTTCCTTCGGCAAATCTGTCATTCATTCCAAAACACAACTGTACAAGAATTGTCAGTTACTTCAGGCTACAAAAGAGGCAAAGTGTGGGACAGCTGTGCCCCATTTGTTGCTTAGAGCCTCTCTCGCCTTTCAAGCAACAGTCTATCAACAAGGACCCACCTGCTGGTCAAAGAACTGACCTCACCGCCTTTCCAGCAAAAACCTCACTTTGAACAGCCAGTCATCTTTCCTTATATATAACTGAGTAGTGAGGTGGCACTTTCTGAACATTCCACACACTCCTAAATCAGTTGGCTCCGTGATGTGTCACTCAGAAGCTGTCCCTATCCACTGGCTGCATTGCCTGACTCCCACCCACAGTGCGCTCCATCAGCCATTGGCCCGTCAGCTGCCTCTCAAGAGTACTTGCGTGACGCTGGCTGGGTGCTGGGTCTGCTCCTCTTCCCCGCCCACTCCAGTCACTGTTCCCTGTCAGAATACCCTCTCTCGCTTGAGGAACACACTTCGCCTGCTTGGCACCTCTCTGGAACTAACTTTTCCCTCAGTGGCTGTTGGTAGGCAACAAAGCTTGGTTCTCTCAGTAAAAAGACAAAGGAATGAAACCCTTTCCATGCCTTTGTGAGGAACTCATTGGGGCCAGTCCTGACTAGGGTTGCCAGCTCCAGGTTGGGAAATTCCTGCTGAGTCCTTCCGCCCCCCCCAACGCTGCCCTCCACAGGATCCACCCCCCAAAACTCCAGGTATTTCCCTACTCAGACTTGGGAACCCTACTTTCCCCATAGTGCCTGTTGCTAGGCAACCAAGCTTGGTTCTGTCAGTAAAAGGCCCTTTCCACACCTATTTTGGCCTTTGGGAGAAAACTCATTGGGGTCAGTCCTGACTAGGGTTGCCAGCTACGGGTAGGGAGATTCTGTGTCTAAGGAAGCCAGAGTCTGGGGAGGGGAGAAACTTCAGCCGAACAGAATGCTATAGAGGCCACCTTCCAAAGCAGTTAATTTTCTCCAGAGGAAGAGAGAGATCTGTTGTCTGGAGTTCAGTTGTGATACCTGGCAATCTTCAGGCTCCACCTAGATGTAGCAGTCAGTCCTTCAGAGCAGGGTCTGCTAGACCCAGGTTCTTGCTGTAGAAGCTGAGTGGGTGACTTTGAACTAGTCACAGACTTTCAGCCTAACCTACCTCACAGGGCTGTTGTGCAAGTCAAAAGGGGGAGAGGAGAATGATGTAAACTGCTTTGGTCCCCATTGCAGAGAAAGACTACGTTTCCTCCTGGGGAACCATTGTTGCTAATCTCTAGGTAAATCACTTAGAATTACAACTGTTCTCCAGATGGCAGAGATCAGTTCCCCTGGAGAAAATGGTGGACTCTGTGTCCTTATACTCTGCTGAGATGGCCCCCCTGTGACAGCCAATGTGATGTGGCAGGGGTTCAGAGCACGGTAGAGGCTGCAGTTGTGGGGGGGAATGGAAAGCTGAAGAGTAAGGGGGAAATAAAGGTAGGTTGATGCTTGGCTGGGAAGGAGATAGCGTTGCCACAGACTCTACCCTCCAAACCAGCCACTTCCTCCTGGGTTACAATTGTTGCCAATCACCAGGTGAGGGCTGGATATCACTCAAAATTACAACTGCTCTCCAGGAGGGAGGGCAGAATTCAGCTGAAGGGAACGATAACGGTAGGTTAATGGCTAGCTGGGAAGAAGATGGGGTTGCCAACGATAACGGTAGGTTGATGGCTAGCTGGGAAGAAGATGGGGTTGCCAACTCCAGGTTAGGGAATTCCTGGGGATTTGAGGGGTGGAGCCTGGAGAGGGTGGGGTTTGAGAAGGGGTTGGACCTCAGACAGGTAGAATGCCATAGACTCCACCCTCAAAACCAGCCATTTCCTCCTGGATAACAATTGTTGCCAATCTCCAGGTGAGGGCTGGAGAGCACTCAAAATTACAACTGCTCTTCAGGTAGCAGAGATCAGTTCCTCTGGAGAAACTTTGTGTCATTATACCCTGTAGAGGTCGCCACAGCAAATTGACGATGAATGCCCAAGGCCAGGGCACTCTCCCAGAGCCTCTTTCTAGAGCTAGTTGTATTTATTTCCACAACGAGCCTTATTCCTAGTTCTCTATAAAGATGGATCCAAAGAACCATCAGCAGAGCACTAACATAATGGACTTTTCACACACTGCCTTCATGCTGATGCCCCTGTACCAGTCAAAAAGAATCTCACAAGGGTTTGGAGAAGGGATGCGGTGTGAATATGCCATACAGAAGGAGAAATGGCAGAAATTGCTCCCCTCTTGTGGAAGTGGAAACACTCTTCCACTTGTGAAAATGGGTGTTACTACCCTGTATGGCTACAAACAGATTTGCTATTTTAAGGACCTTTAAGAAGTTATTAAGGACACAATAAAGCCTCTTTCTTATTGGTTTTTTTCCTCCCAAGACAAAAAATAACAGTCGCTACCTTAAAAGTGAGAGATAAAGCCAAGCATACAAATAAATACTTTTCTCCATAGTTTCGAGTGTAACTGAACTTCCCACATGTGAGGAACTCTGGCTGCATAAAAATGGACAAGCAGCAGTGTACAACTAGAATTTAACCTCTACATAAATTGGAAGCAGCATTTTTCAAACAGCAATAGATTTATTCCCTTTCTCCTCTAACAACACTCACCTGGGTGATGTTTCCAAATAACTTCCATTTTTTGGAAAGTAAAGAATAATGTGCAAAACCAAACTTGCCAACTACAGCGACATTCTGTCCCAACTTATCTATGGCTGAAAACTGTTCAGGAAGGGGGAAGATATAAAACAACTTGTCAGAGTCTTAACAGAAATAATACGGTACCAGTTCAGTGCTTGCCATATTTGATTTAATGCAAATAAAATCCCCAAACGCTCAGGTTTTCTAATTCCATGCAACCCAGGGGTCACCATCCTCTTCTTTAACGACAGCTATTTTTAATTTTTTTTTAAAAAAGCAACTCCTTCCCCAGCATGTTACCAAGTTTTGTTCTCTCTTAGAAATGGAAGAAGGACTAGGAAGAGAACCAGGAAAGAAGTTGTCAGCTAAGTAGCACAGAGAAAAATTCTATGCAATAAAAGCTTTTCTATAAAAGCCTACAGCAGATCTTTTTGCAATGTTTCCCTGGGTCTTCTAGGGGGTGTATAAGCCACTCTGCGGCAGCCAATGAGCTACTGGGCCACTCACATGCTACCTGCTGGAGATCCCTGATCTGATGTCAGTAACAGTTCCCTAATAATTTCTGCAGTAATTGCTTTACATGTAAAAACTCTAAAAGGTATAAAATACAAAGATCTTAAAATAACTCACCCGTATAGGCCAATTGATCTCTAGATAGGTACTGTGAATCTTTAAAAACAAAAAGAAGCATTACAGACCAATGAAATTTAAAATTCCTGCAACTTATTAAAGTCAACCCCTTCATTTCATTTTTGAAACCCAACAAGGTTTCAAACTCATACTCTGCTTTTCAATTTGCTATGCGGACATTCAACATGTAGACAAACATTTGGAATGGTACTTTGTGACCCATGGCATGGTCTACCTACTTTGGTCCCCAACTTTTAACTGGAATGCATAGAAGCCTTTCATGCAGTTAAAAAAAGATTAGGTCATGGAAAACTGCACAAGTTCAGTTCTATATAATATTAAAGCTATTTCTTAAAATACTGAAAACTACATATGTACAAAAAGCACAACTTAGTTCTTTATTCATGAACAGCTAAAAATTAAATGTTGTAAAACCTTTAAATCTTCACCTTATTAAGAAGAGCATACTGAAACACATACACACAATTTCATTTAAATCCTGATTTAGCACAAGTGCTTCATTATTGCATATGTTATTAAGTCTCTAATGCAGGTCCAAGAGAGACTTGGCAACCCAGACTTTGAAACCCAAAAAGATTCTGACAAGCATAATGCAAATGGGGTTATTTGACACCAAAGTAAAAGAAAGATGAAGACAAGGAAGTGGTAAAATGCCAAAGAGAACAGTTACCTGTACAACATGCCAATGTCTGTGCCCTAATAAAGTGCTTAAACCCTGAGAATCTAAGTTCCCATCTGAAAACTGGCCTCTTTCTCGAATGACCTTATGTTCAGAGTGTGCTGTGGAACTTCTAGGATTCTGACTTTGTATTGCATCACCACAGTTCAAGTACAAGCGATCTTCTCCCTGGAGGAGGACCTGTTCCTGATTGCTCTAGGAATAAAACCAATACTTCAAGTTAGCAAACAGTGTGAATAGTAATGGAACAACACAGCAACTAAAAGAAAAACTGCTCAAGTTAATTGTTTTAAAGCAGCACTAATGTTTATGATCATGCACAATATTATTACTAGGGTGAACTCTAACAAGAGTATCATTCTGTGAACAATAACATCTTTGCCTAAGAGGCACTAAGCATGATCTAGTACCACAATACACAAACCTTAAGCACACAAAGATTTATGTATACTTACTATGCAAGGGTTAATGGTGAGTGCACTCTTGATGAACTGGAACTGCAAAATGCCAAACTGCTTGGCTTCATTTTTGCATGCTTTCTCTGGCATTATGTTTCCAGAATTACTTGCATCGATCACCCATAAGTGATAGCCTTCTGATCCCCAACTCTGGGAAAAAAAGAAACATTCTTATCAATTATCAAAAATTAATGAAAGGTACAACAGGGAAGGGATATTCTAAGTCATGGGTGTCAAACATGCAGCCTGTGGGCTAGATCAGGCCCCTGGAGGGTTTCTATCAGGCCCGCAGTGGAACTAGCTGTCTCCTGCTGCTTCTTCCAGTTCTGCTGCTGCATTGTTGCCTGCTTTGCCGTACTCTCTCAATCACTCAGGAGAGATAGCTAGGCAAGCTTCTGTTCCCTGCACTGGCTGAGGCTCCTCCCCATCCCAGGGGGAGAGAGGGAACAAGCCAGAACTTGCTTCCTGGCCAAGCCTTTCTTCCCCTCTAATGGCTGAGGCTCCTCCCCTTTCTCCTGCCTTGCTATGCTTGGGTGCCTCAATTACACGGGAGAAATACAAAGCACCTTTGAGACCAACAAAGTCTTATCCAAGGTATGAGCTTTTGTGTGCCTTGCTCGTTATGCTGTGGCTCTCCTGGGTGCAACTAGGTCCCAGCCCCCTTTCCACTGTATTCATGCCCTCATGATAC